GTTTCCTCTCCTGGCTCTGCGGTTGGAACGGCCACAGAAAGATCTAGAGTACTGCAGGTTGTAGAGAGCATTGCACTCAGATGTGTCATGTCCATGAATTCTATGATAAGTACAGTAGGGAAGATCTGACTGGTACTCATCATCAGTACGATGCCTCTTAGGGTGACTATCAGGACAATTAATTGCAATATGGTCACGGTAACCACAATTGTAGCAAGTTCTTTGACTGTGGGTACTATACATACTACGGGTGCTACGGGAATGATGGGTCTTAACACTAGCTTTGGATGATGGACATGAGTGATTAAGGTTGGGAGTTTTGGTAGTAGCACAAACTAGAGGAAGTACAGGATTGGACAAGGTGTTTGGCATAGTCCTACGATAAGGGAAGGTTCCCTCGGGACACAAATTTCGTACATGGATTAGAGCTTTAAGCGGTCCCATAGTAGCATCTAGTGGACTTGAATTATACACATACTTAGATGTCAGTGGCATTAGTTGTTTAATGACTCCAAATGCAGCTAATTGGGCAAACCCATCAAGGGCTGGTTTATCACTATCTTTAAGATATCTTGAATTTTGGCCTGCTTTAACAAATGAGGACATTAGGTTATTAAGACGGAGAGCAAACTCATCTAATGACTCTTCTGGTCTCGGAGCTGTGCAAACTAATTCTTTGAGAACAACGAACGGATCGGTTTCTCGCACCGGTTCAAGATAATTTCGAATTAACTGTTCATAATCTTTCCACCTGGTTAGATCTTGGAAGTCCTTCATACGAATTAATTTAAATACATTTGAGGCTGCTGGAGAACGGGCTAGACTCTCCTTTCCGATACTTATTAAAAGACTCTCAGATGGGAGACCATCAACTGAAGCGTTAGCTCTGGCTCTAACTGAGGTAAACCAACCTTCAAGGTTGTCTGGGTCACCATTGAACAATGGCATAGCATCATATGGATCACGACTGAAATTACGCAGGGTAGAAGTCTGAGTATGTCTATCGTTTGATAAGGAGTTACTTGAATTTAGGGCTGACAAATTAATGGTTGTACTAGCAGCATGTGCTGAGGCATCGCTTGAGAAAACTTGAGACATGTTTGCAAATGTAAAACAAGAATTTAGAGAACAAAAGAAAATGATAACTAACTGAGGAACACACAACACAGTGAACTTAAATGGAAGAAAATGCTTAACTATTCTGCATAAGTAATTAAAAATTGACAAGTTACACAGTAAGCAAAGAACTCACACAAGAAGAATATGCAGCTTAACAAACACTGAAAATCAAGAGAACTTGTACTTTGCTCAAATCTAATATGCTCAACTTTTACTTTAAATTGAAAGGATGGCACAGTGAGTTGTCTTTACTTTCAATGCAACAAGGAAATACACAGTAAAATGATAAAATGGACTCAATAAACTTGTGCAAAAATTAAAACAGACACACAATTCACTGAAATAAAAATAAAATGACATAGACAGAATAAAATACTATGCACAGAACAGAGCATAAGAAACTGCACTGTAATAAACTGTAGCAATATTGCAAATAATTGCTAATCAAAAGTATTTCATAAAATTTTCTGCAAGGAAACTTTAATAGCAACACAATATTTGCACAAGAATTATTGCAAAATGAATCAATGTGCAATAATAAAAATTATAACACACAAGAAAAGAAATATATCAAGGAATGAACGCTTTAACTCTTAACTGCAACTTAAACAACACTTAACAAGCAAAGAACAATTTACTTTAAAATAAGAACTTAAAAATTGCACTAAGAGTGAATTTGTTCAATAAAACATGAAAAATAATAGGTGCTAAAAACACATAACAAAAAAAGGGTTGAACACTTACAGTGATGCAGAACACAACTCATCAACATAAACACAGTACTAGAATTTTCTTGCAATGAAACTTGATGTGTGAAAAATTTTGTAAAAATGATTTCTTGCTTGGATTTTAAAAATGGCACTATTGTCTGTGGAAATAAGACAAATTAAACACTGGCTAAATGAAAGAATATGAACACAAGAATGTTCAACACACAGGGAACAAAATAAAAATACACAAATGCTGGGAAGAAAAAAAAAATGACAGACAACAGAGTTGTGATGCAGAATATGAGGTGAAAAATTTACTGAAATACTTCACTGGAATACTGAGAACACTAGGTGATTCTGAAGTGTAAACACAAGTTCTATACTGCTCATATGTTGCACACACAACAAGGAAAAACACTAAGTACTTACTTCAAGTGTATAAAAAGATACACAACACAACAGATATAAATAACAAAAAGGCACAATACCGTGACTGGAACGATACACAAATAACCCGCACATAAAAGAGAGAAGCTTACGACGACGTTTCGGTCCGACTTGGACCATTGACAAAGTCAATGGTCCAAAGTCAATGGACTTTGTCAATGATCCAAGTCGGACCGAAACGTCGTCGTAAGCTTCTCTCTTTTATGTGCGGGTTATTTGTGCAACAGATATAAAATAATGCACGAAAATTAACACTGAATTAATGCAATCAGTACATGATAAACACTGAGTCTGATCAAGAGTCACTGAATGTCACTAAGAGAAAAATCACTGGGAACACAAAAGAAATGTCTCAACACTCGCAAATGTCTCTAAAAAAAATATTATCGCTGTAACACTTGAAGAATGAGATTGATGGATTGTTTATATGGTCTTGCTGCTGTCCTCTGCACAGATGATCGTAGAATTGCGCTTACATCGGCGATAAACACACACAGGAGGCTTTATAAAGATGGTGCAAACACACTCTAGCTCTTGACCCCCAATGTGGTCCTTAAAATATGGTGCTACAACCCTTAGCAGTGCACCAAAACACTGAAGAAGTTTGGTGAGTGGGTAATGGCTGACTGTAGTTGGGTTTGTGGGTTAACAGGTCTGAGACCGGCAATGGTGAGACACACGTGATCGTGAGTGACTGGGCTTATGGGTTGAACGTCGTAAGCCTCACTGAGAACACCCACACTGCCGCGAAGATAATTCTAAGCCGGCTGGCTTAAAATAAACCCACGAAATACTAAAACACCACAAGGATGAAAAAGAACACTCAGAATGCTTGGAGCTTGAATCACAAGCGATGAAGACTACTCACGTGGCTTGCTCGAGTACTGGGGTAAGACACCTGGGTTAGTTGGTAGCTGGCCTATCTTAACCCTTCACACAGAATAGCTTGATAACTTCACACGATGAGCACAGCAGGGGTGGAAGCTGGCTTGGCAGGCAAAATAATTGGATGGGGTAGGCTAGGCTCGACTGGGCTCGGTTGTTCTGACTCCCCCACCACAGACTGGAAACTGGCTTATTTTGCAAACTCGGGTCAACCCCTCGGGAGTGATGCAAATAAGCAGAAAAACACTAATACAAAGAGACTGACCAGTGAATAATGTAGAAGCTGGTAGGAGCTTGGGCGAGTAGTTGACTTGAGGTAGCTGGCTAGGGTGAACCTCGGTAGGCCTACTGGTGAAACGAAATTGCCGTCTTGCTGGTCAACAATTTTATCTCCAGAAATCTCTGTAATCGTCAGAATTACAGGCCCTCCGATGCCACCATTTATCATAAGGGTTCTTTAATGGAGATATCGTAGGTTGAAGATAGACACACTTGTAGGATGGTAACTATATTGTCAGACTGAGATGAGGGATGGAGCCCAGTGCCTTGCCTGTCTTTGCCTGGATGGTCTGCCGCCGAGTGAGCTCGTCTCACTCGCTCGCTGCATCCCATGACATCATACAGTCACAGGCCTAAGGGATCTTCTATATAAACACATGGATGGTACTATAATGCTCATCTAATCTATGCATACAACACATGTAAAGGAGGATCAGCAACTATGCTGACATTACAGTTTGTGATAATGACAGTATGGTGTATCATTACAGTAGTTATAATGACAGTATGGTGTATCTTTACAGTAGTGATAATGACAGTGTGGTGTATCATAGCAGTAGTGATAATGACAGTAGTGATAATGACAGTATGGTGTATCTTTACAGTAGTGATAATGACAGTATGGTGTATCATTACAGCAGTGATAATGACAGTATGGTGTATCATTACAGTAGTGATAATTACAGTATGGTGTATCATTACAGTAGTGATAATTACAGTATGGTGTATCATTATAGTAGTGATACTGACAGAATGGTGTATTATTACATTAGTGATAATGACAGTATGGTGCATCACTGCAGTAGTGATAATGACAGAATTGTGTATTGCTACAGTAGTGATAATGACAGTATGGTGTATCACTACAGCAGTGATAATGACAGTATGGTGTATCATTACAGTAGTGATAATGACAGTATGGTGTATCATTACAGTAGTGATAATTACAGTATGGTGTATCATTATAGTAGTGATAATGACAGAATGGTGTATTATTACAGTAGTGATAATGACAGTATGGTGTATCATTATTGTAGTGATATTGACAGAATGGTGTATTATTACAGTAGTGATAATGACAGTATGGTATATCACTGCAGTAGTGATAATGACAGTATGGTGTATTGCTACAGTAGTGATAATGACAGTATGGTGTATCACTACAGTAGTGATAATTACAGTATGGTGTATCACTACAGTATTGATAATGACAGTATGGTGTATCACTAGTGGTGATAGTGACAGTATGGTGTATCACTACAATAGTGATGATGACAGTATGGTGTATCACTACAGTAGTGATGGTGCCCATATGGTGTATCCCTACAGTGGTGATGGTGACAGTATGGTGTATCACTACAGTAGTGATGGAGACAGTATGGTGTATCACTACAGTAGTGATAGAGACAGTATGGTGTATTACTACAGTAGTGCTAATGACAGTATGGTGTATCAATACAGTAGTGATAATGACAGTATGGTGTATCACTACAGTAGTGATGGAGACAGTATGGTGTATCACTACAGCAGTTATGGTGACAGTATTGTTTATCACTACAGTTTTGAGAGTGTCAGCAGCTGTTGTGTCAGCATCAGCTGTGACATCACTGCCCAGCTCAGAGGATGTGGCGCTAGAGCTGACTGATATGAGTGACGACATAGTCAGTCATGCCTGTGACCTGGCCCAGCAGCTACAGCCACCAGGAGGGTGAGTCCTTCACTGTCGTTCTTCTGTTGTGAGTGAAGTGGCCCAGCAGCTACATCCACAATGAGGGTGAGTCCTTCACTGTTGTTCTTGTGTTGTGAGGTTGTCCAGGAGTTACAGCCACCTGGAGGGTGAGTCCTTCACTCTTGTTCTTGTGTTGTTAGGAATCTGGAGCATACTAAGCCAATCCAGTTAAAGGATATTTTAGAAAGACACTTAGCTTCAGTGACGGCTCAACGTCCCACAGCTACGACCGGGTTGACTTGATTGGAGCAGTAGTGTCTCTAGTACTGTTGCATCTAAAGTGTTCAAACACAGGAACTGTTACACTACACTAAAACAAAGGTTGTCCTTTGCTTCATGGTATTTTCACAACAGGAAGATAGTTATACTTCACTGTAATAGTTCAACCATGAATTTTGAGATTGTCACTGAATGAGAATAAAAAATGTGCGGATCACTAGTGTTCTTTGTCCATTCTCTCCTTGTGAAACACGTTTCCCCATTTGTTTCTTAAAGCAACCAGAGCTCATCTGAGCACTTCGCCTCGGGTGCAGCCCTAAATTGCTGACTTCAGCATGATTTGTTCCTTGCTTGACATCGTCACAGTATTCAATACAAATGATAGATTTCCTATTATTTAACTATCGACGACAAATCATTATTGTCCCACATTGTAAGTAAAGTGGTGCAAGGTTTTCCTGTAACTTTCCTGCTAAGGTAAAGAGTGTCATTTTCAGATTCCACTGTTACTTGTATTACGAACACTGTGGTGCAGCACGAGGTGGTGTGACATATGATGATGACGCTAGCTGCATGTGGATTTCTTTAACTGTTATACAGAAGCAAGGGAGGCTATCAGCCCCTCTGGAGGACTGAGTCCTTCAGGCGGCTGAAGGGGGCTGAGAGGGCTGAAATCCCATTTCTGGAGAATTTTTCTCCACACGGGGGGAAGGGAGAGGCGAAAGTTCGCCTCAGGTGAACTATTCATCTCTTAACATTAAATTTGATTTTCTCACTCACCACCACAGCTAATTGTCTTTTCTGAACAGCTTTAACTGTGGGGTTTCTGGAGAGAACACAGCTCAGCTGATTTTGATTTCCTGAAGAACGGGAGTCAGTCAGCCAGGAGACCAGATTTAACCAAGACTCATACCCACAGGAGAGTGTCACAGGGAACAGTACAAGATGCTCATCGCTACATGAGTCAGTCCTACAGGATACCACAGGGCTCGCAGAGTGTCAACAACCAGTTAAGGTGTTGTCTGCCATGTTGGCATACCTGCAGACGTCCTTCACGTAACCCTGATGCAGAACCCCATTCATTCAGACATGGAAGGCAGGCCGGCACCTTCGAAGCTCCCCATCCTCACTGTACCTCACTGCGGAAACGTCGCTGTGTAGCCCCAACCAACTGTCCAGAGCCACCTACCTTGGACTGCCCATCGAAGGTTAGACGCCATGAGTCACTTGGCGACCTCGACGAAGCCTTCGGTAGCTCAGGGACTCCGCAGGGCGTGGAAGCCCACAACCTTGTTTCACTATGTCGAACACCTACCCCCCCCCACCTCTGAGTGTGGAAAATACTGGTATTTTCCAGAATTCGTTACATGCACCCCCACAATTAGGGGAATGGGGCATAAGAGGGGAGAGTGGGAGAGAGGATGCCTAGAGAGAGAGGGGTTACTTCTGTAAAATTATCCTCGTATTTCTAGGCTAATTATACACTACAATTACTACTTTACTATTACACATATTTAAGTTAAGTTAGAGATATCAGCTTAGCATAAGGCAGTAGCGACATTTTCCATAAACAATAGATCGTAGACCCCTTCAGCCCACCAGTTTCGAGTGCTTACTGGCTTGGGCTGAGCCGGGTGGTTAGTCACAATTGGGTAGTGAGACGGGCGACTTCCCCCACACAAACCTTGCGTGATGAATACAGTCGTACACCACGATCACCACAAATAAGGGTCTCATTAGCTGAACCAGGCTGTGACTCAACAGGTATTTCTCAAATGATTACCATCATCAGCTGCCTATATACACTGCTTTCTGTGAGGAATAAAGGTCAGTACCCCATTGACTGAGTTACCCGGAAGTGTGCAGAAGGCTTGAGACCGAGATTCATGGCTGAAACCAGGTACTACTAACCCAGCTCAGCTATGATCCCACAAACACTGCCTAATTACCCACAGCAGTGACTGTGGTTGTGATGGTTGCAGCATTGATGGTGGTTATAATGGTGCAGCAGTGATGGTGGTTGTATTATCTGCAACAGTAATGGTGGTTCTGGTGGTTGCAGCAGTGATGTTGGTAGTGTTGTAGATCATCAACAGGCAACAACAGTTGTGTCATCATCAACAGGTACTGGAGGATCTGGTGTTACAGCTGCACAGTAACAGTGGTGGGCATCCAAGACATGATCCATCACCTGCATCACCACAGTGTTAAGATGAGGGATGGGTTAACAATATTCACCAACGTCAGGATCTCACCACACCAACAGCGCCAGCTGGTCACTCTGGCCCAGACAACACTCAACTGTGACTTAATGTGAGTGTTTGTGTTACTTGTGTTATTATCCTCTTAATGGTAGCAGATATATTCATGATAGCTACAATTATCACAGATTCTTTCATGGTAGCCGGAATATTCATGGCAGCTACCATCATGGTAACTCGTATATTTATGATAATTCTCATCATGTTAACTTCATTCATGGTAGCTGCTACATTCATGATTGCAACCATCATAGTAGCTACCTTCAAGGTATTAGGTATATTCATGACAGCTACGATCTTGGTAGGTAAATTCATCGTAGCTGCTATTTGCACGATGGCTATCATCATACCTTCATGGTAGCTCCATTATTCATGATAGCTAATATCAATAAAACTATATTCATGGTAGCTCCTATAACTTGATGGTAACTGCTGTATCTTTCTGGTATCTGCAATATTTATGATAGCTACCATCATTGTAACTATTTTCATGGTAGATGCTATGTTAATGATAGCTACCATCACGGTAGAAACATTAATGGTAGCTGCTATATTCAGGTTAGCAATCTTAACGGTAACAGCTGTGATGACATTTGTTGCATTCATGATAGATACCATGGTAAATTCCTTAAAGGTAGCTGTCACATTCATGGTAGCTACCATCATGTTAACTATCTGCATGGTATTATTATTATTATAATCAAAAAGAAGCGCTAAGCCACAAGGGCTATACAGCGCTGCAGGGTAGGGAAGGAAGCGAAGGTACTGGGCGGCAGAAGGGGGAAGGGATGATCAGTAGGTTACAGAAAACAGCGGGGCAGGGGATAGTGCGGGGGTAGAGGGCAGCAAGAGATTGAGGTAGAAAGGGCTGAAGGTATCATCAGAGTTTGTGAAGTAAGTCAATTGTTGTCAAAAAGTCAATGATATAGTTATAAATAGTTATAAAAACCGACTGCTATACTCACATCACAAAAGATGTTAATGCAAGAACACAGTATCGGATCATCACATACTATATAAGAGCAAACAGTGTCACAAAATTTAACGCACTGCACACATTTTAACTCTGCGCGTACGCAGACAAAAAAAATCTCATGAAAATTATACTATCATGTAACAAAAAAGTCTAAAGAAAAACATAAACAAAAAACCAACTCGGGGAGAAATTTGATACATATTCTTGTTCAACTAAAAACCAAAGTGAAACCTGTTATTCATTACCATGACTTTACATCATATGGTACCAGCTCAAAAGAGCATAATATGTGTGATACCATCGCATCCTTCAAAATTCAACACCCTCCTACCCTAGTCAGACCTCCTCACCCTACCTGAGAAAAAACTAAACCCTAACACATATATGAAGCTTTCCAAACGTAAGCAAAAAACATTAAAACATAAAAAAAACTACATAAAGCAAATTAAACAGCAAATACATGATGTAAACATGTAAACAGTTTATTTTCTAACACTGGTATCACCAAAATCAAATTGCTTATAACAAATTCCTGTAGTCAATTATGTTAACCAGATTCGTCCACATCATAAAAAACCAACATCCAGGTCCAAGACACCTCAGAAAGAGTCTCCCAGCCATCCCCTGACACTATGCCAACCTCACTCTCCCTATTCATACTCACATCCTTACCTAAAGTCATTAAGTCAAAACCCCAGGCTATCAGCTGTATGTCTTCAGTTCACCCCCCTATCCCCCCTATCCTCCCTCGTACTTGAAGACTGTACACACACATACACCACTACCACACACACTTTCCACATTCACTTTCCAAGGGAAAACAACCCATTCCAGCTCTAACCTAAACCCAACCCTAACATTTCACCTACCGTCAGATTATAACCCAAAGGAAAACTATTTACCCACAACTTCCCATATAATAGCCTATTCCTGCAAACCGTTTGATACTCGCCGCAAGTGCCCGCACCCTACACTCACCCCCCACCTCCCTCTTACCACAAGACACATACAAAAAATCTGCCACCACATACATCACTGCTCTCTGAATGTCCTTGGAATCCCCGCCCACATCAAAAAGCAAAGCCCTCAAAGTCGAAATGCTTCTCCCCCCCCGCCACTATACCCAGGACCCTCACTAACCATTTCCTTACAATCCCCAAGTTTTCGCAAAAATATACAGCATGAAACGCCATCTCCTCCTCCCTACAATGTAAACAAGTGCCATCACCTACATACCCCATTCGATGTAGCACCGACCTTGAAGCTAGAATTACCATAAAAAGCCTATATACCACTTCATGAACCCTCGGCTTTAATCTAATCTTCCTAAATTCTTCCCAAATGCCACTCCAATCATACATTGGATATGTAGCTACACCCTGTAGCACCCCACCCTGCCTATCTGTTCTCCCCAGCTTACTGACCCTTACTTTTCTTGCATCCAATATTGTCAACAAATTATGCATCATATCTTCACACACCAATAACGCCTTCCCCATCCACCATTTCCTCACATCCTCCATGATCTCTCCCACCCTTGTACCCCTCTCCCCTCCCACACTAAGGTACCGCTGCTTCACATACACTGCCTTCACTCGTGTGTCCAAAGGTATAAGACCCAGCCCACCCTGCCGCACGCCCATCATCACCACCTCCTTCCTTAGCCATGGCCTGCCATAGCCCCACACATACCTCAAAACCACCCTCTCCAGTTCCTGAATATCACACGACCTCAGAGGATATACTTCTGCTACTCCCCACACTTTACTATACACAAGTGTGTTTACTACCACCACCCTCTGCTGCATTGTTATATCCCTGGCCCTCCACCCTTGCATCCTGCCGATCGCTCTACTCACAACATCCTTTGAGTTTATTTTCTGTGCCTCCCCAGCATCCGCCATGTACACAACCCTGCAGATCTTGATTCTATCCACTACATTCCACCCATACAGTTCCCCCAAACCCTCCCACCCACGTATCTACTTCCAATAACTTTAACTTTGCCCCATTAACCCTCATCCCTGTCGCCCCAGCAAAGATCTTGATTATACATCCCACATTCCCCAATCCTATTTCCCCTCCCATCAAAACTGTGGTGTCATCCACATACCCCACAATTCCACATCTGCCAGGACCCTTCTCTCCCCTTTCCCACACTCCTTTCTCTGTAAGCCTATAAAATGGGTCTTGCATGCATGCAGAAAGGATTTGAGACAAGGGGCAACCCTGTCGCAAACCCTTCCCCATCTGCACCAGCAAACCTAACTTCCCATTAACCTGTACTCTGACCCTCGCAGGCATATACAAAGTAGTTGCCCATCACACAATATCATCCCCAAAACCCTGTTTTTGTAAAATACCCCACAACATGCATCTATTCACACAGTCATAAGCCTGCTTCCAATCAATCCCCAAGATTCCCCCCCCTTGTCTACCCTCCACAAAATCCCTAATTCTCCCATGCCCCTCACGCATACTTCGACCTGGGATCCCGCACTGTCCTCTATGTAGAACACGGTCAAGCAAATTTTTCATGCGATTACCTAAAACCTTCGTGAAAATTTTATAATCAGCACACATGAGGGAGATCGCCCTATAGGCAACCAGGGTTTCGCCCTCCTTCTTTGTAAACCAAAACAACTACCCCCGTGCCCTGCGATTCCCCCGAGGCTTCCCCATCCTTCATACTGTTAAGCAATGAGACCAGACATTCCTTCAGACAATCCCAATGTGTAATATAAAAATCGTTAGGAATTCCATCAATCCCCAGCACCTTTCCCCTACTCAAACTCATTACAGCCTCCCCCACCTCATCTCTCTCTCCTCCTTCCTTAAAATACCCCGAATTCCTTCCCTATAATCTCTCCCTACCTCCACCCTCCCCCTGCTTAAAATTCTCCCTAACCAATAATCCGCATAATTACTCATTCTATCGGTGGTTGTAAGTTCCTGCCCCACCTTATAGCCCCCCACCCCTTGACTCACCTCTAATCCCATAATTGTAGTTATCTGCTGTCTTTCCCTAAATCTTCTCAAAATGCATCCTGACAGTTTGTCTCCCCATAGGACCTCCTTTAAACCTTCCCTTACACATAATGCATCAAAATGAGAATTTAGTATATCCCTCAATCTTCCCCTTAAAACCTCTATTTCCCCATATCTAGTCTCCCTGCCCTTTCATAAAAATAATTAGCTGCCCCTCAAAATATTTTTGTAAACCAAACCTCCATTGTGCCTCATCCCGTTCTCTATGCTGATAATACTCATTAATTTGCAATTTAGCATACTTCTCCCACCATTCAAATACATCCTCCTCTTTGTTGCGCGCCTCCCAGAGGTGCCACCACCATTCTCTGAAAACCAACCCCTCCCCCTCCCCCTGAAGTAACCTCACATTCAGTTTCCAATAACCCACATACCTACGAATTATCCCATCCTATGCCACCTCTGCCAAAATGGCTCGATGGTCCGAGAAACCTAAATCTATCGTCGTTACACTGTCTATTGTAATCTCTTGAGTTATATATATATGGTCCAACCTAGCTGCAAAACCCCTCCTCATAAACGTGTGCTCCACTCTCCACCCATCTCCTCTGACTATGTCAAAAAAACCTGCGTCCCTCAACATCTCAGGCACACACCCTGCACCTCTTGGATCCACATCCTTATTTCTGATTACACAGTTCCAATCCTCTCCTACTATAGAAACCATGGGTAAACCCAGCAAGTAGAAAAGCAAAGCCTCCCTTACAAAAGTCACCTTTACCCTTATATTGCTATCAGCCGGCATATATATCCCTAGAAAACACACTCTAATCTCCCCCCATAGCCCCTCCACCCTCACCACCCTCCCCTCCCCCCTCTTCCTACACGAGCACTTGGAATGGGCTGAATTCCCTCACTGCCACTGCCACCCCAACCTTTAATTTCCCTGAGCTGCCTGCATACGTCCTAAAACCTTTCAGCCTCAAATCTCTACCACACTTAAAATTGTGTTCTTGAATAAAACACACATCAATATTAAAACGCCTCAAAACATCCTCCAACCATACACGTTTTACATGAGCCCTAAG